AGCGCGCAGGTCGTGTGCAAGCCGCGCGCCAGGCAGCGTGCAGGCCACGCGCCATGCTGCGCCAGGTCGGTGCCCCGGTGGGCACCGACTTGGTAAGTTGTTGCCTGGGTGTTGCCTATTTGTCACGAGGTGCCATGTGTCACAATTTCACTGGAGGGCCAACTCTGCCCTCATCAATAGCGAATAGCCCCATTTTTTAGACTTTTCATTAGACATTTTTACCCCTTATATAAGTAACATACAATAGGCATATATGTCCTTTACTCTCATTCTAAAAACTACCCACTTATAAATGTCTATGAATTGTAAATAGTTTTGTCTTGAAGATATTGTCACGTGCAAATGCACGTACATATTTACTAGTAGTTTCAAATATATCTAACTGCCATCACAAGTGCTCATTTAATGCACCAACACCTCTCAACAATTTGTCGCTTCAACTGGTCCCTCATTTTGCATTTTATTCAACCGGGTATATTAAAATACACATACATACATACATGTTTAAACAATACACTATTTTGATAGACAGATCATAGATGGTATTTTGCTCTTTCAGGGAGTTTTGGAGGAATCTAAATAAGGGAACTTCTAGACATTATCAATAGAGTGAGGTGAGGTTTTAGATGATTTCCCCATTTCTTGTTGATCATGAACTCCGTGTTTATTTTATGTTATATGGTAAAATATATTTCATTAATTAGAGTTAGATCAATGATAACCTCAAGTTATCAAATGTAATCATCGAGGGTGACCCTCAAGTTATATATAAGTTGGTCCAAGTAGGGATGTCGATGGACTGATTTTGGGTTGGAGTCGTTCAAAATAAAATCAATTTGTGTGGATTAAACAGACTAATAAGACATTGAATTGGAGCAGTCTAGAGTTAATGGTCCAAAGTATTTATTGGAACAAATTGCACCTAGTCCATCCATAATGGATTTATATTGAATTGAATCAGATTGAACCAATATCCGGTCCATTGATAGAAGGTAACAGTACAGATGTCAATGGACTAGGTTTAAATTGGAACTAATGTAAAGTAAAACCAATTTGAACATATTGGATGGTCCATATATTAAATTGGACTGGTCCGAAATGGTCTAGAGTATTCATTGGATTGGGTTGGAACTGATCCATATGGACTCATATTAGATTATATCAGATTTGACCAAATCCAGTCCAAGCAACACCCTAGGCCGAACAACTGTCTTGGGCTTGGAATTGAGTCCATTCAAATTTTGACAAAATCTCAATTCTGGCCTGCCTAAATTGCACCACTAAAAATTTGGTTTGATTAAGAAGCGAACTCATAGCTGGACGATAATTCCTTAGTTTTATGTAATCTCCTTCAAACAATGTAGTTAAAATTGAGTTGAAAGGAATTTGCTTGCATAAGTGCTTAAAAAAAGAAAAAAGAGGGTTTGCTTCCAAATTAAAGAAAAAAAAAGTCAGAAAATAAGGCTGTTTTTACCAATACACTTACATCAACGCGTTAAAATAACATGAGTTATAAATTTACCTTACTTTAAACTACCTTTTAATGAGTTTTCGTTTGTTAATTTCTTTTATGTCGACTAAAAAATATATTGCCAAAATAAGTGAAAATAATCAAGAGGAATCCAATTTTGATGAGTCCTTCAATCGACAGAGCCCGTGGGCTTGTAGAGGAAATGGGCTGGCCCACGAAGCGGCAAGTCGGGCTAGAAGTCAAGCCTTATGCTTCGTAGGGTTTTGACTCTTGAGTCTTCCCTGCCTCGCTGGTATATTTTGTGAGGGGTTTGTCATATTGCTTCCTTGATAAATTAAAAGCTCTCTTTCACAGATTTTATCTAACACTAGTTTAGTGGCCTATGCATTTGCTTAAGAGAGAGACCAATGCTTTTTTTTTGATAGAATAGAAAGAGTGTTATGTAAAACGAGGGTTTATGCCTCCAAACATCACAAAAACAAATAAAGGCAATAGACCATTGAAGAGAAAAAGCGAAAAAATATCACTAAAAGTTGCATGCATCAATCAATCCGCTGCCTGATTAGCTTCATGAAAGATATGACATCAGCTGATACCACAACCCGGGAGCACATTCAACTGCAAACATTCCTCAATAAGGCAGCCGGTGACAAACTTAGAATCTCCTTTGATGAAAACCATAGAATCCCTGTAGTTAAGAGTAATGTTATGGGCTTTCCATGTTGTCCAAGCTTATGCAAGACTAATTGAGGTCCTTCATATGCAGTATTTTTTTTTTTACCTCTAAAACCCTCCCAAAACGACCCCTTGCAATGCAATGCATGGAACGTAGACCATCCAGGTTACAAGATGCATCGAAGTTGATTTTAATAGCTTTCGTCTGAGGACAAAACCAATGAATGGGTCTCTAAGATTTGTTACATAGGGGATCAACATCCCTACAAAGGTTGGTTTTGATATCCATAAAACAGTTAGTGGCTTTCTCAATCAAAATGGGGGAAGAGAGAGAGAGAGCATGTTGTTAAAGAGATTTTCGTTTCTAATTTTCAAATGAACTATAAGATAATCGTGTTTTTTCTCTTTATCCATTTGTCCCCTATTTCACCCCTAGAACAGATCAGATTAGTAGTCCTAGCCCACCAATCTTGAACTGAACCATCATCTTCTTTTGGGCCTTCAAGGTTCAAACCAATCGCCAGCTACACTTGTTTAGCACAAGAACAATTTTTATAAATGTGGTCAAGATCCTCCTCCTCACAACTCTTTTTTTTTTTTTTTTGGCTCAATGGGATGTTGCTTTGTCTTGCAAAGCCCAAGATCATAGGGTTAGAGGTGTCAATTGACCGTTTTTGGTTTGGATCCAATCTGATCCAAACCTTATCAAATCGGATTTGGACAGTTCATTATAATTATTGGATTGGCCAATCCAAAATAAATTAGTCCATATTCTAATTGGTTTGAATTAGACCTAAACCAAATTTTCAATAATCCGATCATGAGGCCAAACCCTTCCAATTTGAAATCAATCAAAATTGAAAACAACATAAACTCACTTTTATAAAAGTGCTTTTACGAAAGCACTTTTACAAAAAACACTTTTACAAAAGTACTTTTATGAAAGCACTTTTACAGAAGTACTTGTCGAAAGTACGTTTATAAAAACATTTCTACGAAAGTACTTTTATAAAAACATTTCTACGAAAGTACTTTTATAAAAGTATTTTTACGAAAGTACTTTTACAAAAGTACTATAAAAGTCTATGGAAGTACTTTTCAAAAAGTGCTCTTACAAAAGCACTTTTCCGAAGTACTTTCAATAAAGTTCTTTTGTAAAAGCACTTTTATGAAATTGTTTTTATCAAAGTACTTTTACAAAAGTGTTTTTTCAATGCTAAAAGTGCTTTTATATAATTTTTGATATTTCATTCAATTTGGATTGGATCCAATCCAATCCATTTACATTTTAATGGATTGTATTAGATTTGCACTGGATTGGGTCCAGTCCATTTATAAATAGACTCACATTGGACTGGATCGGATTGGGCCAAATCCGTCCAATTGACACCTCGGCATAGGGTGATAGGGGCTTTCTTCTTCTTCTCCCCCCTTCTTACATTACAATGCATTGAACTTTGTATTGTTGAATACCAAACAAATAGACTCGAAAATCCAATCGACCACATTGTACTCAATTAAACTGGACCCAACTGCATGTGTGCCGTTTGGATATGCATTTGCACTCTAAACAAATACAACCTAAGGCTTAGTTTGGAAAGAGTACAAGTACAAATATATACAAAATACAAAGCTTTGCAGTGTACATATTTGCATTTGTACTCCTTCCAAACTGACAAAAAGCCTTAGTGATGCCAAAAGATCACTAGCTCCTTTAGTATAACCCTGCTTGTAAAATAAAAAAGTTGCAAACCACTTCTCTAGCAATAGCTGGGAATTGCATTTTCCTTTTTGGTCTAGGGCATTTTTCTGTATCAATTTGAAAAACATTTTCATTTGTATCTTGAAAAAACACATGCTCAAAAACTTGCTTTTGGTTTTCAGTTGATGTTTTTTTTTTTAAAAAAAAACAAGGGTGAAATATAAAAAACTCGCCTAAAGTTTATGATAATCATAAAAACCTTTATTGAAGTTTCATTTTAACAAAAGCCTACTCTATAATTTTGAAAACACCTGCATTTGCCTCCCTTTTGTCATTGTTCTGGTGATGAATACTTGAAAGTTGTAAAATTACCCTTAGGGCATCATTCAATATAATTCAAAATTCCGTATTTTCCCTTCTAAACTTCATTTGACTTGATTAATTTATAGAGTAATATTAGATTACTCTTTTGTGCGAATATTTTAGTAAATCACTATTTGAATTCATAGGTATAAGAGTAAAATAGGTATTTTGAAAAAACTAATGCATTACGCCAATGCTTTCCCAAGAGAAGGGACGTAATCGTAGGTTTTTTTAAACCTTAGAAGAGGTTTTTATAATCGTAAATTTGCTTGTTTATACTCTGGTACAACATTTAATTTATATGCTGTGTTGCAAAGGAGCAAAATGGCAAGGCAAGCATGACAACATTCCTGTTTGCTCCTTTCTCGGATTTTATTTGGATTTTTTAATTTAGGAATTCTATTAAACAACAGATTAATACAGCTTTTGGAAGTTTCGCCTCACAACCCTGGCGAGGTCCCTGACAATGACATGGGTCCCACCATACCATGAATTTTAAGGGACTGTTTGATAGTTATTTAATTTAAAAAAAGCAATAAGTCATCTTAATTCGGGTTTGGATTTATTGCCCACGAATTGTTCTTACATCTTTACCCACGGGGCATTACAACTGTGCATTAGGAATATTTTTCTTATCATTCTTAAGGAGATGTTCCCACTACATGGCGGTGGTGTTATAATGTTATGTAGGTAAAGATGTGAGAACAATTTATGGATAGTAGATCATGAGTGTCTTAATTCAGCTATTTTAATTAAAATTTATGTATTTTGATAGATAATCTATTTCTAATTACAACAATCATAATTGGATCACTTTGCTTAGCAATCTATAAAAAAATTGTGCTAACTAATATGGAGTTCAACTGCTCAACCATTAAGGAACTCACAACTTGGGGGCTGTTTGGTAATAGTTGAAAATCTTATTACTTTGTCATTTAGTGAGTTTTTAAGAGGTTTGTGAGTTAGTTAATGGTTGAAGCAGAGGTTGAATAGATCAGTATACTCTTGAAAATTTTATTAGTTAATTATTTTAACAACTAAAGACAAAGCAATAAGCTTTTTAGTTCAGAAATTTCAGCCATTATCAAACAGCCCCTAACTTAATGACTTATTCACTACAAGCAAAATAATAAATCATTCAAGTCAGCAGCTTCAGCCCTGAATTTTGAAACGCCAAACGCATTTTTCAGCATCCTAGCAAAAAAACGCATTTTTCAGCAAGAGGCTTTGGTCTGACTCTGACTTCTGGAAAGCAACAAAAATGCTGGTAAAATCCAAGCTCTCAGTAGCGTGCCACAGAACGTCTGCAGCGGCTTGTACTACGCTTTACAACGTATTTTAGAAGGAAAGATCTGCTTGAGGCTTTGGCTCCAAAACAGTCTCTTTTGTTTACTTGGATTTCTTCCTCGCTCCCCTCCGGCCTCTCTGATCAGAGTTTTCGAGCGCTTCTCCCTCCTCGAAACATATACAAATGGCCACGATTACCACGGTAAATGCGAAACTGCCACTGTTCTTCTCTTCTTTCTGGTTTACTTGGTGTTTGAATTCACGAGCTGAGTTGAAATCTGATTTGCTTTTTTACAGCAGAGAAGTCTTTCAGGGTCTTCCCAGAGCCCTAGATCCCCTTCCGCGCAGCCCTTCTTAGGGATTACCGTAACTGACCCTGTGAAATTGGGGAATGGCGTCCAAGCTTACATCTCCTACCGGGTCATCACTAAGGTACTTCCGTAATTTTGAGGCTTGTCCTCTGACTCTTCTTTGTTTCGATATTCTGTTTCCTGCTTTCTTCGGTTTAGGCTTTTGTTTTGGGATCTGTGGATTCACAGTCCGACTTGATTGTGTTTGGTGATCATTCCGCGAAGAAGAACAACAGTTGGTGTTTTCTTTGGGTATTGAAGGTTTGATCAAAACATGATTTTCTACAATATGAGCAAAACTACGAATAGGAACAATAGTATGAAAACGAGCAAAATTAATATGGGCACTGATAATGCTAACTCAATTGGGATTTCTGATATTTTGTGACATTGTGTTTGCTAAAGAATACCAATTACAGCTCTGAGGATTTAAAGCTAAGAACCTGAAGTTTGATACAAGGAAAATGAAAATTGATGCTTATCTGGTAGGAAATAACATGATCTGAACTTGGTTCGGACGGTGGTCAAAATGTATCAAGTACACCAAACAATTGCTTCTTGTCCGAGTGAACGAGACTTAGGAAGGTTACTAAATGATGTTCACAAGCACTTGCTTGTCTGAGGAACAATCAAATTGCTTGTTGATACTGAAGTCCTTTTCTTGTTACCAGATAGATATGTGGGAGGGATTAGGAGCTATTATTTAGTGCCATGGTCAAATCTCAGGCCAACAATCATGAGAATTTAGGTTCAAGTCTCACAAGCGCCCACTTTGTGCAAGAAAATGCTGAAGGTTAGGTCTGTTTCCATTCCAGCCCTCCACCCTCCCAAGACCCAGATACCATGGAATGGCATTGAGTAGTTGCCCTTTTTATCTGTGGATAGGATTATTTTATGTAAGCACTGTGGTGTACTGTGGTTTATGATAAGTCAGTACAAAGAAAAGACACATTAGTTTATGGTCAATTGTTCAATTATGTTCTTGGTTACTATCATTCAATTATGTGGTATATAATACATTATAGATGCAGAGAATCAAGCCAATTCTCATATTTAGTGACAAACTCCTTGTGGAAAATATGGAATAGTACATCCCTTGTCCACTTGCTGCTTTTTTTTTCCTGCCTTGCTGTTATGTTGCCTCCATTGTAAATCTTCTCATTTTGGCTCCTTGATGGACTCTTGACCTTCTACACAGTTAGGTTTTTTTTTTTTCAAATTTGGAAATCAAGGAAAAATGTGTACTCTCTATCCTTTGGGTAGTTGGGAGGAGAAAAACTCCATAACTCTGTAGAAAGTTAAGAGTCCATCAAAGAGCCAAAGAAATGGGGATTAACAAGCTGATTATTGAAAGGGACTCAAAAAATTGTTGTGAACTGGCTGAAAAAGGGGGAAGGGTAATATGGTGATGATTGATGAAGGCAGTGAGAAAGAGACTGATCAATGCTCAAAGTCAAAAGGGGATGGTAATCTTCAAAGAAACAAAGGAGAAAGGGATATTGACAACCCCACCACACCGATGATTAACAATAGAGATGTTACCCCAGCAGGAGAGCAAAGAGGTAAGTCAACAAATACTTCTCCTTCTTCCTCGTGGATGACTTCAAAACTTTTGGGGTTGGGTAAGTTTTTGGTGGTTTCTATGGAGAGTTTGGAGGTGGAAACAATAAGATACCTTGAAGGAGTGGAGCAAAGAATCTTAATGGAAAGAGGAAAATTAGTGGCTAGAAAAGGGGGAACTTCTTCAAAAAAGGGAAGGGAGTTGATGAGGTTGACGTAGGGTTTAAATGACAAGGCAGAAGCTGTGGGAAAGAGGCCAGAAATAATAGGCTGGTTAAGAAAAACTCTTTCTTTTTCTTAAGTTTTTGGGGTCGGGAAGAAGGCTGGTGGTGAGTGATACTCTCAAAAGATCAAATTCCCTTTTTGTTTTGTTGCAAGAAACTAAGCTGGAAAAATGGATGTGGTGGAGGGCTAAGCCAGCTGTAGGCAGTGCGAAGGGGTCTGTTAACTCTCTGGAATCCCATTGGCTGTAACATCATTTCTCACACAGTGGGGCAGTTCTCGATCTCTGTGGTTGTGGAGCTTTCGGATGGGAAGCAGGTCCAAATTTTGAATGTGTATGGTCCAACAATTTCTAGTTTTCAGAATTCTTTTTGGGAGAAATTGGCTGATATGAGAGAAAGCTTTACTTGCCCTTGGGTCATCGGGGGTGACTACAGTGCTATTTTATCCATTGAAGAAAAAAATTCAAGATGCAGAAGAACTAGGGTGATGAACTCGTTTGTTGAATTCATAAATAACTTTGACCTTATGGATCTCCCTCTGGTGGGAGCTTAGTACACTTGACCAACAACCAGGAATCCCCAACTTTGGTCAGGTTGGATAGATTCCTAGTTTCTTCAAACTGGGATGAGCTATTTCTGGATTTCAGGCAAGCAGCTCTTCCCAGGCCTGGTTCTGACCATGTTCCTATTCAGCTCATTTGTGGGGATCAGGAGAAAATGAAAACTCCCTTCAAATTGGAGAATGCTTGGTTCGAAGAAGAAAATTTCATTTCTTTGCTGACTTAAGTTTGGGGGGGGGGGTTGCAGGTAGAAGGTACTAGTTCCTATATTTTTGCAAAGAAAGTGAGAGCAATTAAAGAAAAGGTCAAAATCTGGAAGCTTGAAAATAGTCTTGGGATGGAAACTGAGAAAAAAGCTTTGCTGAAGGTTATTGAAGAAATTGACAGGGCTGAAGAGGCAGATCCAATTTTGGCAGACTTGAGACATAAAAGAATCCAGGCAAAGGCAATTTTTGGTAAGTTGGCAGCTAAGGAAGAAATCAAATGGAGGCAGAGAGCAAAAGTGGCTTGGCTGAGGCTGGGTGATAATAACACAAACTTCTTTCACAAAATGGCTAATGCTCGGAGGAGGGCTGCATCAATAAGCAAACTGGAATGAGATGGAAGAGTGGGAGAGTCAATAATTGAAATAAAAAGGCTAGCCACGGCTTTCTATAAAAACCTTTACAAAGAAACTTAGGCCAGAAGACCTTTCCCTTCGGATTTACCTTTTAAGTAGCTAAATCTCAATCAATCTATGTTTCTTGAGAGACCTTTTACTGAAGGGGAAATCAAGGTAACAATCCAAAAAATGGAGGTTGAGAAATCTCCCCGACCTGATGGTCTTACTAATCTTTTCTATATTAAATGCTGGGATGCTGATTAAACAAGATATTCTGAAGGTCTTTCAGGATTTCCATTGTAATGCTTCTTTGCAAAGAAGCCTTAATGCAACTTTTTTTACCTTGATCCCGAAGATTGAGGGGGCCACAAACCTTGGGGACTTCAGACCAATCAGTCTTCTAAACAGTTTCCACAAAATTCTGGCAAAAGTGTTGGCGAAAGAATGGAATTAGTGCTGAGTAGTGTGATTCAAGCAATCAAAGTGCGTTCATCCCGGGGAGACAAATGCTTGTTTCAGTTCTGGTAGCCACTGAGCTCATTGACTCTGAGGTAAAGGGAGGGAATTCCTGGGTGTCGGTTACTGCTGATTTTAAGAACCTGAATGTAGCTGAGTTGTTTAGCTCTCAGTCCATTTGGAGTCTGTGATTGTATTTGTTTCTAGGCTTTCTTCTGTCCAGGAACCTGTTGTACTTCGTTGTTTCTTTGAAATACTTACCTTTTCAAAAAAAAAGGACATTCTTGAGCCTCACTTTGGGCACTGATGCCATGCAAAGTTCTGAGATTATTATGTTAGAAAATTTGCAATCATACATGCAACATGTATGGCGGGATTCTTCACATCTTTAAACAAGCAACAAATATCCAGAATCCCTTGTAAATAGTCAACACATCTCAAAACATATTTATTATGGCTATGTAAGGTTAAAATTATCTACAGCATGAATAGCATTTCATATTGAAAGAATGGAGAAGCAAAAGAAGGAAAAGAAAACAAGACATAAGTAGCATTTCATGTGTCTGATGATACTGAAATTAGTAGATTAGCATGTCATCAAGATATCTGTTTTGAAGTTGAGGCTGTCTTGGGGAGCTTCATTCTCCTATTTATCATGTTGATCTTTTCTCTCTTATTCCCATATGTTCAAAATGGAATGCCATTGCACCTTTTGTGGTAATTTATTATCATTTTAAGGCTTTGATTTCACTCGTCGTGGCAGACAAACTTTCCTGAATATCAAGGTCCAGAGAAAATCGTTATCCGGCGTTATAGTGATTTTGTATGGTTGCGTGATCGTCTTTTTGAGAAGTACAAGGGCATATTTATTCCTCCTCTTCCAGAGAAAAGTGCCGTAGGTAACAACAAAAAATACTCTTCCGTACAAAAGCCATCTTTATGTCCTTTTAAGTACTAAGATTGCTTACATCTTATTTTTGAGATTGCCGACATAGTTGTAGTTCTGGGTTCTGGAGAAACTGTATAATCTTTTATATCTTTTTTTGAATTTCCTAGTTGATGAGATTTTGATGTTGGTTGAAATCCTTTGATTTTCTTTCTGATTTATAACAATGACATTTTGAGAAATAGAGGGAAGAAGCAATAAAATAATAGCCCACAGCCAAGAAACTTTCTAGGAACTTAGTAATGAATATGAAGAGATTAAAGTATATGGCTTAGGAAGAAGAAAAATATTTTAGCTTTCATCTTGATACATTATTGTTCTTAGTCTCAGATAATAAAATGTATTTATAACATGAACATGACATAAATTTGTGGTATTCTTGAATTATTGAGTTTTATATACATGCTGTCTTCGTTTATTCAGTTTTACATGAAGATCACATAATTGTTCTTCAATTATTTAATTGTTATATGCATGCATTTTTTCCTTGTTTAAGCCCTTTGCCTTAGTGTTCTTCATGCCTTAGTTGTCAATGTCTTTAATATTTCAGAAAGCAATATATATTAGAGAAAAATTATGGTTCTTTTCTTTCTCTTAGCTCCAGAACAGTTAAATGGTTGGTGTACTTCGTTTTGCTATGGAAAAAATAATTGCCAGTAGTGCATTTTTTTGAGAGTTTTTAATATTTTTAATATTTTAACAACTTTAAGAAAAGTCAGAAAAATCTTACAGTTTACAATACAACTTGGTTCAAGCCCCTATATGATTTATGATACTATTACAATTTTCAGAGCTTTTATTTTTGATAATTCAATTTTCAGAACATTGGTTCTGTTCTTGTTTTCATGAAAAAGTCCTGGATTGATTGGTCTCCAAACACTGTTTCAAGAAGAAACTACTTAGCATTATATGTTCATCCTATAGAACTACTTACAGAAGCAACCTTTTTTATTTAATTGATTCACTGGTCTAGCTTACACAAGATTTTTAAGAAGGATATTGGACAGAAAAAAGAGGTTCTTGACCATCTAAATCATTTTTGAGGCATAAACCACAAACAAAGATTGAACATCTATGGAATTATTCCCTATTTTTTAATTTTCCTTTTTTTGTCAATCCACACAAAAACTTGTTAATTTGATGTGCAATTAACTGCGGCAAAAGTTCTTTAGAAGCCCCTGGTAATCTTTCTTTCAACTTAATATTGACTTTGGTGTCTTGCTTCTGCAGAGAAATTCCGCTTTAGTTCTGAGTTCATTGAGATGAGGCGTCAGGCATTGGATATATTTTTGAACCGTATTGCCTCACATCCAGAGCTTCGGCAAAGTGAAGACTTGAGAACCTTCTTGCAAGTAGACGAAGAGGTGAAGTGTCTATGCTGTATGCCTCATGTAGGAAAATGTAGTATTGACTTCCCGTGGACTTTGAAAATGTTAGAAATTATAGTTATCACACTGTTCTGTTAGAAAAGAATTAATTTCATTTGGAATTATTCCTCCTATGTTAGTTAACCTTGACATTCATGGGTGCTGTTAATGGAGTTGATCTTCATGTGCAGACAATGGAGAGAGCCAGATCACAGGAAACTGGTATCTTTAAAAAGAAACCTGCAGATCTGATGCAAATTTTCAAGGTATGTAGTGTTTGGTAATTTGGATAAGGGTGAAAAGAGAAGTTTTTCCAGAGGAAGAAAGAAGTAACTGTAAATGGAACTTCTAAAGAATAGATAATCTTGGGACATCTTTGGCTGATAATTTGCCTTGAAATATTGAGACAGTTAAAAAAATTCTCATATAGTATTGAAGAATCTGTGCTTCCGTACTTGTGCCAAAATATTTCTGCTGTTGTGCCCCTGGCTGTTTGACTTAATAGTTGTGTAATTAGGACCAATTTGTGCATAAATTCTTGGGCCAAAGATATCACCTGTGCTTACCTAGTACTTATTGATTGATTTATATGGATGAGAACCTCGGTATATCCTGTTTACCTATTACCTACTTGAGTACCTTAATGAATCTAATACTAAGATTTGAACAGGCACAAAATTATGTCTGAGCAATGCTAGCAGGCAACATTTTTTGCATACTTCTGCCCACTACAGACATGGTAAGACCCATGAAAAGGCACCGGAAGACAAATGTTTGGTCCCAAAGTTTCAAAACCTGGAATGGATTGGTTGCCAAACTGGCGACTGGACAACTTTGATGGTGTTAGTTTCATGGTTTTAAAAAGAGGTGGCATGGTTCCAAAAATATACCCAAATTTTCAGAAATTGGCAATGTCTGTTTAGAACCAGACAATACAAAATAGGCCGTTCTGTTTGTGGTTTTTTTTTGAACTATAATATGTTACTGCTGATTGGGACTCATGTTACATGTACTTTCACTGCCATGTCATGCTTGCATCAGCAAACCATGTTTTTTGGGTTAGAGCACAATAAATTGGTATGTTCAAAAGGGAGTTGCTATTTCTAGAACCATGGGTTGCTGGTTCCAGAACCACCAACAATGTAGCTGAACGTATGAAGCAGGATTTCTTGTTCTGGAACCAGCTGAAAGACGAGTGTAATCATGAATCTAAGACGCCCTTTATTATTCCTGCTTTGGGGTGATTTGGGTGGACATGGTTGAACTTGTGTGGAGAGCATAGTTTTCAAGGTGCCAAGGCGAGGCTAGGTGACTGGGGGGCGCCTTGTTGCCTAGCCACCTAGGCGATGGATTTTTTTTTTATGTTAAAAACTGTAGAGAACACTGATGTGGGCCCCACAGCTATGGTCCCACTTTGTCCGTAGGGTAGAATGTGTTCTAGTCATCCTAGGGTTAGCTAGTGGTCAATTTGTTATTCCAGTTGTTATTTATATTTCAGTTTTATATTGTTTTATTTGTTATGTAAATACCAAGGGCAGATTTGTYCTTTTCATGTAACTGGCATAACCTATAAATATTAATTAGAAGTGGCGGCGGCAGAATATTGAGATTCTGTCCTTCCTTTCGAAGTTTGTGTTCTACTGCTCTTTCACTATTCTTTCTCCTCTTTCCTCTATACTTTCTCTTCTTTTTAAACCTGAAATTTATTAGTGTTCAAGACTGACAGCAGTCTTGAACACCTACATGGTATCAGAGCCAAGTTAGGGTTTCTCATGTGAGTCTAGTACCAACCGACCACATAAGAATCTCCTAGGACTAGAAGCTGAAAAGGTGGAGTTCGCAGACTGATTCTTGGAGATCGCCAGAAGGGTTAGCAGCTGCTAAAAGCTTGTCATGGTTGCAGAGTGTTGGTGGTCAGGAAGGATCAGAGAAGACTAGGGTTCGGGTAACCTGGGAAGGCAGCGAACGATTTTTCCTTGTAAGTTATTTATTCTCCAAGAGAAGTACTATCAAAGAAGATAGGTTGGACCTATCTTGAAAGGGCGGCCGAACCATTCTAGGGTTTTCTCCCTTCTATTCTCTAAGGTTTTACAGCAAACCCTACTGTTGGACTGAACTGTTTCAGGGTCTGAAAGTGATATGCAAACCCTACTGTTGGGCCGAACTGTTTTAGGGTCTGAAAGTGATCTTGCGGCAAACCCTAATAAGCTTGCGGCAAGCCCTAATGTTAGGCTGAACCTTGCGGTTCACCTGGAGCTGTCCTCAAAGTTTTTTTCTTTCAGCATTGATCAGTTTTTTAGGGTTTCATATTAACCCTACTGCAAGTCTATCTGTATGGTACTGATTGGAATGTGCAATTGAAATGTTTTCTTTTGGGACTGATTAAAAACCCTAATTCTCCCAAGCATATCAGACCTGCTTCTAAGCTGATCTTCAGATTCTTTTGGGGTTTTTGAACTCTCTTAAGGGGTGAGAACTGTACGGCCTGCTGCTGTTGTGTTTGCTAGTTGGTTTCAGATCATCAGTTATACTTGTTTCATGCACATATACTGTGAATACAGATTGATTCTATACTGATTTTTGGTTGTGATTGATAGTCCAAGTGCTGTTCTTTGGCTGTAGTAACCCTAATTTTGAGACTATTGGTTCTTGACCGAAATGGAGTTTAAAAATTAGGCCGAAGGCAATTTTGGGAACAACAGTTATGTGGTATGTGAGCATTGTAAGAAACCCACACACACAAAAGAAACATGTTGGAAGCTACATCCTCATTTGGTCCCGGCAAAGTTAAGAAGCAAGAAGGGTAACGTTCATGTGGCCGTGAATACTAATTCAGCATCCTCGTCTGGCACAAGAGGCACATTCTTAGAGACCTTAGCTGTAGTTCGGGCTGCTCTTATACAGTTGGAAAAGGAAGTTGGGAACTCAGCTCAGCCACCGCAGTCACCATTAGCCCCTGCCACATTTGCTTTCGCACATTCAGGTACTTGAGCCTCAACCTACCATGCCTCAGCTCCAGGTACTATTGAACCCTGTTGGGTAATAGATTCAGGTGCATCCGACCATATGACTAGCTTGCCTTCATTGTTTACCACTTATCATTTATTTTCTGGTAGGGATAAAGTATCTATTGCTGATGGCTCTCTTGTCCCCATTTCTGGCAAGGGTGACATCAAGCTATCGGATACCATCTCCTT